CAGAACAGGCTCCCAGCCAGTAGCTGGGGATGGACACAAGATGGGGAGGACACAAGAGTCCAGCACGGAACAACTTTGGTCATGATCACTTTAGACTGCCATGTTATTTATCTGGCATTTGCCATAACTGCAATACAAAGGCCTAATTCAACTTCCTTCCCCTCATTCTGAAAAGGTAAAGATGTTTCATCATGGAAAAAAATGAGATCCAAGTTAAAAAAAACCCAAAAAACGGAGAGGCTGTGGTGTGTGTGCACACAGTGTTTTTCAAAGCAGTGGCCCTATCTCCCTCTACAGCTCACTGTGAACACAAACAAGAGTGGGGCTGCGGCACACACCTGAACCAGCTCCTCCTCCTTTTTTCCAGATGCTTCAAAAGCTTCACTTTTCAGGTCATACTGACAACAACTGAGCAACTTCTAACTAAAAAACAATTTTGCCATTTCACCTAACTTAAAAAGGAAGGATATATGTCATTCTCTGAATTTTCTACCCAATTACTTGTCTTTTTTTCCAGGGAAACATGCACTGCAGCCTCCGAGTGTAGTTCTACTGAGGCCATAAACCCAGGTCTCTTCCACAGCACACAGATTTTGTCCCCATATAATTTGTTCTCTGCAATAACTTTCCACTGATTTGGATGAATATTAGTGTAGAGGGCAACTGTTTAAATAATGAGTAGTAGAGCAAAGGTTTCCCATGTAACTATTTGATGTAAAAATGCTTTAAAAGGCAAACACATTATGCATGTATTAGTTTTTAAAAATCTACCCCAAAACAGACCTCATAAGAAAGATCTTTCAGACATAACACTTTCTAGGCAATGACTTTATATATGCATAGTCATTTGTATTACAATTTCTAAGATCAAAAAAAAGTAATGCAAAGAATATTTCAATCTTGGAGGAGCAATTACTCAAGCCCTTGGAAAAACAACTTGGAAAACGCTCAAAATTATAATGAGTAGAAACAGCCTAAGCTCTAAGAAGTTTATCTCTGTCTCATCCACACACTCCCTCTCATGCTTAAATCCCTTGAAAGGCAGACATACAAAATGGATTGCTGAGGTTTCCACAGAGCTCACAGTTTAATTCATCTCTCTCCAGCAGGAATCCCACACCAGTGATGTTTTGTTACTTATCCTTTGGAAATTGTAGTAGCTATTGAAGAGTGGACATAAGCAAGACCTTACATCTGCACAGTTGCAAGAGAGAGCTGTGCTCTGAATAAAGGGCACTCACAAGAGCACTGCAAAGATTGCACCCTGAAGAATTGCAGGGAAAGCATATCTAATCCCCTTGGTTTTCAAAGCCCAAATGTTGAAAACTTGCCCTATTTAATCTCAAAAATATTCTTTATATGCAGAAGCATAGAACTTGGAGCTGCAGGAATTAATGTACAGTGAAGGTGATTTCAGGTACAGGTTTCCACACCATCTTTGCAGACCAAAGTTGGCACTTCCCACCAGCAGCTGTTGTGATTAACTCCCTGGAAGTCCACACAGTCTCCAAGAGCAGTAAGGGCTGATCTTTTCAGTCTTGTCACTGAGGTGCAAGCACAGGTCTCTGCCAGTTACTCAGCTGGGCAGTCCAAAATATATGGGAACAAAGCAGCTTAAAAAATGAGCTCATCATTCTTTGCTGCCAGTCTCTCTTCATCCCTCTGCTTCACCACCACAGCTGTAAAGTGAAGGTACAATCCACTACAATCCCTGTATTTTCCCAAGTGATGGGGTACCAGTCACCCCTAAGACACCATCAACAGTGCAACTGGATACCCAGAGATGACTGTAGCAGCCATGGTACAAACAGCCACTCAGTGCTCCTGTCCCCAAGGCAGAGCTGTGCCAGACACTCTTATATCACACTGGGAACACATCCAGGGCAAGCTGGATAAAGTCACCCAACACCCTCACCTCTTCATTGACTCAGATGCCTTTGTTCAGGCTGCTGGAAACATTATGCCCCAGGGCTAAAAATAAACTTTTTCATCCTCAACTCCTAGTTCCCTTGAGAAAAACCACTTCAGAGAAGCCAGTACAGTCTCTGTGCAACCTTTGTGGCAGCCTTTCACTGCTGTTATTACCACCTAGGCTTCTTTGTATGGTCGGGGCTGTGCAACAATTTATATTTTCACTCTATTTCCAAAAGAAGCCCTTATTCTATAGAAGAACTAAATTTTTGACAAGCTTAAATGAAAAGTTTCCTTCCAACAGGTCTAGGAGAACCACAAAAAAGCCAGTTTACATATCCCATACATGTTAACAGCAGTTCTCACTGAAATAGTTTAGTGAACTGAAATAGGTTTTGCTCCAGCTCTGATTTCTTGAGTATTACATGATTATGTCAGTGAATTGTGATTTTTTGTAAATAATGCTGTCTTGCTTGAAATTGCAACCAGAGGATCTTCTGCTAATCTCTTGTTGAGTTTGGGAAGGTTGCAGCAAGGCCAGGCCTCTAGAAACACAGTCCAATAAGTCCACCCTCTTTAAAGCAGAAAGGCAAAGAAGGGTGAACTTGCAAAATACCTCTCTCATTTGTTACTTTGGAACAAGAGATATGTCAGCCAAAGCCTTTTCATCTTTTGCCTTGAAAGAACTAGGGAGTTAAAAAAGCGTTTCTCCCCAGTGGATCTCAAAGCTGAAGAGAGTAGATTTTGGTACATTCTAGGCTGGTTGTATTTCTAACTGGAAAATAGCTGCTGTTTTCTTTTTCAGGAATTGAAAGACTGACATTTAAAAGAAGCTTCAGCACACAATTATCCAAGCACTCAGCTATCAGGGTATGCCAAAACTGAGGCTTTGCACTTGCCCTCCACTCCACATTCCTCACCTCTGGGAACCAGCATTACGCTGCTATTTACATAATCACAGAATTTCCCTAACACAGCTATATACTTTCCCCCATGCACCATCAAATTGTGTCTATGTTAGATAAGCAAGTAAAAGTCATGTCAAGGACATCCCTAGATTCACAAATAGAAGAGAGGGGGAAGAAAAAACTCTGATATTTGAAAGGTAAAAAGGATTACTTCTCACTATCTCAATTTTCTTTACAAAACCCCACACAATGAAACCAAACAAACCAAGTAAACCCTTAAATTATAACCAGTAATTGGAAGAACAACACTGATCTAACTTCTGGTGGACAGGAAGGCTGAGTCAAAATTATTTAGTAGATACAAAGTATCTGTCTCAATGACTATTACAAAAGTAACACATATAGAGGTTGCTCTGCACATGCACAAAATATTACTAAAAGGTAACCTGACAAGCACATTTTTCATAATGCTGCTATCTTTCAGTGAGAAAGAAAAAAGAAAAAAAAATTCTCAGTGAGTCCGTAAGCAGGGACCAGGGTGGGACTGAAGAGCAGGGATGGGTGAGAGGCATTTCAGTGGTGCTGCTGTTTAATATCAAACCCCAGTGCAAAGTGGCAAAGGCAGCATGATTCAAGCTGAGGAAGAAAGGGGATAACTGCACACACACACACAGAAGCAGGAGGGAGGGGAAAAGCAGCCTAATCAAAACTAACAGCAGGATTTCTGCTCACACTTCAAACTGAGAGAAGATAAAACCTTTCATTTTCCGTTCTTGAAAGCAAACCCCTGGAGTCCATGTGGAGAAGAGCTCTGCAAAGAACTATCAATCCTTTGAATTCAGTAATTTGCAGAAGAACTACCCTTTTTCCACCTCCCTGAACATTCTTCCCCATTCTCAGGCATTTAGCTATAAGCATTACCATTACACACTTCCTGACCTTTTCTTTTATATAACAAACCCAAGCAATCCTTTCTGGAGCCTGAAGGTTCATTATCCATACTCATTTTAGATGATTTCCCATCCTCTCTCCCCACTCCATTTCAAGCTGTCTGCTGCTCAAACCACTTCTCTTGACAAGCCTAGGTATTCAGCATCTTTTCCTCTTTTCACTAAAAGGCATCCTGGCTCCAGGTTTTTCATTCTCCTCTGATGAAACCACTCCCCTCACCCCCAAAAACTTTTATCTGATGCACATTTTCCTAATTTAGGGTCAGAATCACAGATGCCATTTGGGGAACCCAAATTACACAGTCAGGCTTCCAGTGAGCCTTCGAGGAACACCCAAACAAGTCTGAACATTCCCTTGAAAGTCAGCAGGAAAACTTGACCATGACATGTTGGGCATCTGAATATCACCAGGGACACACCCACAGGAACCAGCATCCTAGAGGAAACAGTAATAGGCGTGTAAAATCCCAAAGCACGCCCAGTGCTAAGACAGGATTCCCCAAACCTGCAGCAGAGTGCTGCACTATTACAGAAAGATGTAACCATAAGGGAAAAGGTTTTCCAAACCAGATTTTCTAAAGCTTGCTAGCGCACGTCAACATGGAACACGGACAGGCTCTGTGCAAGCAACTTCTGCCAATGTATGGCCAACTTCAATCTCAGCATTTTTGTCATCAACATTCCCAAATACCTCAAGAAGGACTAAAAAGAAATGACCAGTAGTTCCACACAGTTTCAAAACCCATTAAATATTTAGTCTCCAAGTACTAAAACAATCAGTGTTTTAACAAGAACATATCCATTGTATGGGAGGCAGGAAATTACACTAGACTTCAATATGCTGCTGAAATTTGAAAACAAAGTAGCAGCAAGAGTGTCTTCCCTAAGATGTATTACTTCCAGCTGGTATTTCTGAAGAAGATAGGATTAATTTCATGCTGTCTTGTATGATCAAGGGCAGTGTGAGGATAATAATCAAATGTATTCTATTGCTAGCTGCCACAAATGATAAATACAATGCATTATTAAACAAGCAGCACCTAGACTGCCTGGAGGAAACAATTATTTAGCGCTTTCATTAGGACACACTCATTTCTCTCATTTTTTCAATGCATTCTCACATTTCAAAAATCAACCTTAGCTCCATATAATATGAAATTCTACAAGCTCCTGTGCTGCAGCTGCCCAGGAAGTGCCTGCTGGAAACAGACATTGCTGGATGAGTGCCCACCTTGTGAGTACAGAAGGATCTGCATTTCCAGAAGAACACAGGTGAAGACCTGGACCAGGTTCTCCAGGCCCAGCAGCTCGAAGACCTCCCTCAGAGGGTAGTCAGAGAGCGGCAGCTCGTTGGGGCCAGGTCTCTGGCAAATGATGGGCTCATAAACCCCATAAAACTTGAGCGACCTCCCCGGGGGCGGCAGGGGCACCTCATAGAGGATGTTGTGGATGTAGCTCTCCAGGGGCAGAGGTGGTGGCTGCTGGGAGGTCACTGCCTTGTAGAGCTGGATCAGGAACTTCTTGCAGGCTTGCATGAAGGGCAGAGGGGTGATGAGGCAGATGCACTTGGAGACGTAGAGCGTGTCCCTGCTGATGTCGTAGGAGTTGTAGCGCTGGAGCTTGGCGAGGGACGTGGCATCGCCCTCGTCGATGCTGCTGGCCAGGGAGTCCATGCTGCAGGAGGAGGAGGCGCAGACGCTGCTGTACTGCTCGGCGTTGTGCATCTGGTACAGCGTCTGCATGGCTGTGCAGATCTGCTTGCTCGTGACCTCCTCGTAGAAGGTGAGCACAAAGCCGTACGTGCGGGAGCCATCCTCCCTGGTGATGATGAACGAGTGCAGCTGCGGGTCTCTGTTATCTGCCTGCGTCCTGAAAGACAGCCCCTTGGGCATGCACAGCTAAGAGAGGAGAAAAGAAATAGACAGAGTTACCTAAAACACCATTTTATTTTGCTGTTTTTGCTGTACAGGCACATTCTTTTTATCCTCTGCATCACAACAAACCATTTACCTTTAAAAAAAAGTATCCAAGAACAAAACAACTGATGCAACTTAAGAGGGAGACATGACTGAAGAAAGAAAAGCACCTTTCAAAATAATCCATCTATTAAGTCATTACGACTCATTTTCATTACTTGCTGAAACTGTTTTCATTACTGAATAGTCTTTGTGCCATTTATTTAAGCATCATATAAAAACATCCAGCTCTCCTCTCATTTGCATATATATGCCCACAGTACTCTAAAATCAGAGAGTGAAGGAAGCATCTTATACCACTGGATTTAAATTACATAGACTTCTTGGAATTCTTTGATCTTCCCTAATTTTCTCGGGAAAAAAAACAAGAAACAAACCAAGCCCCAGCTGACTGGCAGCTATTACACTTACTTTCTTCTCTAAGTGCTACCAAATAGCTTAGACTGGATAAAAGGAAGGGCAGGGAGGGAAACACCCAAAATCTATGAAAGCCTCATTTTTGATTCACCACTCAGCAAAGTCCCTTGCAGTGATTCTGCTGCACTGGGTGTTTCTCTGAAGCATGGCCCTAGTGAAAAATCAAGGCATTTTTCCAGACATTCTTTGGGAATGCTACCAAACAGCTAATGCAAAATAACAAACATCCAGCACAACTTATTTGAATTGTGCATCAGCAGGAAACTGTTCATGATCTAGCTATATAAGTATATTTATAAACAAAATACTATAGCTTTATTTCTACCATCTGAAGAAATAAAAGGAAAGAATGAGAACCTTCAAAAAAGGCAACAGTAGAAGACAACTTTAGCACAGTATATGAACCTAGGCACAACTGAGTGCATCCCCTAATGTCTCACCTTGAGCAGGAGTAAATTCCTCTGATGCTGGAAGAGGTCAGAAGAAATAACTATATATTTTCATCCTACCCTGAACTTCAGCAGTGCACCTGGCAGAGACCATTCAAGAGCCTGGTAAAGCTGGGAATTAGGCAAGTGGTCGAGACTCCACAACAGGCTATCAGACCCCTAAATTATCTAGGACAGCTCTTATGAATTGCTCAAAAAGGTCATGTGTAGGGAAATAAGTAGCCTGGAGTTGGCAGAAGAACTCAATTCAATTGATGGGCTTTGCTGACACAACCCATGAAATTGCAGCTTGAACTATTTCTGAAGAGCAGCCACATTTTTATTCAAGAGCTTTATAGTTTTTATTGAGGCATTAACAGCAGTGCCATGGCTAAGGCTCTCCAATAAAGAAGTAGTAAAAATCCTTGTTTCACACTTTATTTAAATTTATTCTCCACAATAAACATCTCTCTTAACCTCATTTTTTTTGGCAGGCTTGCTTAATAAAAATTTATTTCTAGAATGTGGGCTTTCAATGGTGGCTGTAAGCCTTATCAAAGCCAACCAGGCTGAAATCACAGGCTTACATCTCAATGCTATCAGAAACTAAATTTTCTTCACTTCACAGGAAAATACCTGGACAAGAAAATTAGATATGCTATTACAATCAGGCACAGATAGGCATCAGAGAAATTCAGATCAGCTGAGACTGTTTCAGAAAGCTGTTTAAATAAATTTCCTCCAAGCCTTAATTATTACTCCCTTGTCCTTTATATGCTGGGCAAGCACACACAAAGGGATGCCCATCTATTAAGTTTCAGCCACAACTTGACACATGCAGAATATTGACCTTTTAAGACCCTGGCTGCAAACCTTGGCTCAGAGACTCTTGCTGTTGTTAGACCTGTAAGAGGACACAGGAAAAAGCAGAGCGGAAAAAAAAAGACGGGAAGAACCAAGGCAGGAGGAATGACCAGGAGTCACTTAAGAAGCTAAGATCAAAAGGAAGAGCCTGTAATCATTTTGCAGCAATACAGAAAGCTTTGAATTTGTGGTTAATGCATGAAAACTTTCATCTTAGGGCCTCGGACATCAATCACTTCCCATCTCATCTGTGTCACACATGCCACAGGAGAGTGCTGGAGAGAATCCTGGGATATGCTAAGGGGGGGGGGGGTTGTGAAATTTTAGCCTGCTGGAATGAATCTGGCTCACTAATGCTGAGAACACAATCAGTCACCTGCATTGCATCTATAAACACTGAAAACTACCCAAGATTATTGATCAAAAGACGGGATTTTGGTTTCACTTTACTGTTTGTATTTAAAGGTATCCATCAGCAGAAAACCATGGAATTACACCAGGTTTGCAGTAAGGCTTATAGCCAGAATGGTTTGTAAAAAGAAAAGGAAGCTGCACCAGGATAGACAAGGGGGTATCAGCTAATCCATAACCTGTCTCTAGACGTCCTGAGCAGGCAACACCCTTTCCCCAAGCACAGAGGCAGGAGACATGCCCTCCCATAATCCCTCCCTCCTTCTCCCAGCCATCATCATTTGCAGGTATTTCTGAACCAAAGTTCCCCCCAGGACCACTGCCCACTGGCCCGGGTTCATCTCTTCTCCACTAGATCCTTCACTTCACTTTTTAAGCCTCTACATACTTCTCACGTTCACAACGTGCTGTGGCAGCAAGCTCCACATCCAAACTCCACTGTGGGTGAGGGGGTGGAGAGAAAGACGCTTTTGTTGGTCTTAAAGCCTGCTCCTTCAAATTCCACCAGGGAACCTTTAGTTCTTTTATTTCAGTACATGAGACATTAAACAGATAATGCTTCCTTGAGTTTCAGAAATACAGGCAAAGATTTATATACCTTGATGAATCAGAGGGCTAAAACAGGAAGCACATATTCTAAAAATTTCTGTATCTCTACACTGAGAACTTTAGTTTGGTACAACACTTACTTCAGAATGGCCACAGAAGATGGTGTGTGAGGTTAGGCAAGGAAAATCACAAAAAGCAGCAGGGGGAAAGACACAATTCCCTATTAAAGAGAACACTGTGCATTGACATATACTTTGAAACAGAGAGAAAACATGACTCCTTTGCAGCTTGATTGCTTGGGACTTCAGGGGGCTATTTTTAAAACAACAGGATGGTTCTAGAAGGCAATTGAACTTCCTCAGGCATCCAGCAAAGCCAGAGTTCTCACAAGTTACCCTTCAAGGATTTATGCATTTCCTTCTCTGAGGAAAATTGCTTCTGGAAGCTCACATAAAGCAAACACATAGGCAGAACTAATACAGCAAGGCAAGATCAGAAAGGCCAATAATTGCCTCAAGAGATTCCGTGGAGGTGGATATTACTTTAAATGATGTTTCAGATCAAAACAATAAAGAAGTTTTCCAAAAGATAATTTAAAAGATCATTAAATACTGCTGCTGTTAGTAAATGCTTTTTTTTCTCAAAGACACATTGCAAATGAAAGATGTGTTCAAGGCAGCTCAGTTCAATTATTTTAATAGGTCTCTTGCTGGTTTTAGCATTCCATTTTTGTCCAACACTGTGATCACACTTCATGAATATTAGACATGCTCCACTGTAACGTGAGAGACAAATAACACAGCAATTCCAGCTGCTTTATTCCTGCTGCACACCCCTCATTACTTCATACTGGAACTCCCCCAATGCAAAGGCAGAACTAGAAGGCATAAATAACTTTGAGCTATTACCATCTTAACTGCTGACAAAGCATTGCTGTGAGTCCTTCGTGCCTTCGGTATCAGCACAGTGATGTGGAGACCAGCCCAAATACCACCCCAACTCCAGCAGCGCACATTTGGAAGCAGAAGACAGGAACCCCCAGCTGCCAGCAGGCAGAGGGAGTGGCTGGCCTCATCTCTGCCCTTCTGTGCAAGTGCAGTGCCACAGTACCAGCTCTCCGTGCCACTGCTACTTCCAGCTTCTGTGCTTTCCTGTTAAATATTTGTCAGAACACTAAAAATAAAATTCGGTGGAAATTGAGATGAACTCCAGATTTCTACACCTTGATGACTGCAGGGAAGTTCCAAATGCATTTTTTTGCATTTGCAAAAGCCAACTTCATGAGGGTTTTATGTATTCTCCACCTCTCCATCTGCTGGCTGGGGGCCAGGAGATTCTCCTGACTTCTCACTTGCACCACACAATGAGGTCAGCTCAGTTTTGAAGCAGGTGGTGTGCTGTCCTGCCTTCCTCAAATGCAAAGCTCATCTAAACTAGACTGGGGGAAGGGCCTCCCTCATTTTCCAATATTGACTTAGACCCAACTCACATTTTTGAAAACAGCTATAATATTGTTCAATGTTACTATCACAACAATTGATTATTTTAAGAAATATATGGCATTTTCTGTACTGGGAAGCTCAAATACCAGTAATTGCTGTCTTTGTCAGGTTGTGTTCTTAACAACTGCTTTGGTGATTTTGGAATCATTCTTTAATTACCAGCTCTTCAGAAAAATTCCCAGTGGATCATCAGTCTTTCAGTTGTCACTGTCCCCACTCCAGGAACTGTTTTTCCCCTCCTTTCCCAGTCCATGGGACTCAGCCACATAGATGCTCACATCAAATATAACTGAGAGGAAAGAGATGTACAGGAGAAGTACTGGTGCAGAGGTGCCATTAAAAGTGATGACCCAGCAAAAGCTGTGCATTAGCCAAGTTCCAGCTTCTGCATAAAGACTCCCCTTCCCCTTGTCTGCAGAATCGAGGTGTTTTGTACTCCAAAACCTCACAAGGATATCAGTATCTTAAAAATTCCTTGGTTTGCCTCCTTCCTACCTGGGGATTGGTATCCTAGGTGACCACACCCCTTCTCAGCCAGTCCCGGGGATGGTGCTTGGACTTGTTTTATCACCCAGCACACTCAGAACTAATGAGGGAACACACTTGATTTTTGCTGTGCCTGAAAGTATCCTGTGCTTTCACAACACCTCTTCCTCTGCACCTTTTCATGCAGCACGCCCAGTGAGAGCTCCTGGTCCCAGCAGAAGCACCACAGCCTCAAGATCACAAGAGCATCACAAGGGCTAGCTGTAAACAACGAGGAACATCTCAAGAGCTGACACACAACCATTTGAGAAGAGAGTTTTTCTCTACCTACCATGTTGACAGCATCCTGGTCAAAGGGGTTCCACTCGATGTTCTGAGGATAATGGGCCAAAACTTTGGACTTGAAGGTTCTTCTTAGGGGACTCTGGTCAAAATTCTCTCCTGCAACAAATGAAGAAATAATGACTCAAAACAGCAGTGAGGCTTCAGAGAGAGATGACTTGGGTTTTCTTTTTTTTATCAAATTTGATGGACATTTTGACTCTCAGAGGTACTACTTTTAAAAGAGAAACAGAAAAGATTCCCATTCAGTCTGACCTTACCCTCCTTCCCACAAAATCTTACTGCAGTTGCCACACAACTTCCATTTTAGTATTTACAGAATGGAAATACATTGTCAAGAGAAAAATCACTGCTGAAATTTTACAGAAAAATATCTTGCAATCAACTGGATTCTTGACCTTCTCCAACAGCCTGAGTATCTAGAGACAGCTTTACTTAGTCAGTGAAAGAGCACTTTCCCTCAAGTTTGTCAGAAGCTGTCTTTAAGGTCAATAAAAAATATGAGCACCTCTTGGCTATTATAAATTATTCAAGCATTCATTATAGATGATATTTTTATATTACAAGTCCTATGTGAAAATTAAACATTTATTTTTTCTACATCAAATTTCAAGGACATACTTTCTCCACACAAAGAATCCAGCAAGTGCAAAGAGGAAGACTGAAATTAGACTTCAAGCAGAAATGCATCCAGTTATCAGCATACAAATACTGTATTTCACAGTGATGGTGTTAATGGAGTTCTCTGCACTGGATTGTCTACAGCATGCAAAACAGTTATCAAAACAAGGGGTTCTTAAAATTTATTAATTAAATGACCATCTATTACACTATCACACAAAACCAGCTCTTCTAACAGCACTAATATGCAAGTGCATTCTGAGAAAAGGTTTTAAATCTTTTCCTTCCCAAGTAATCTCTAAGATTTTAAAGATACTGTTATTTTTATACAACACTTATTTTGAACACAGGATTTAGACACATTAATTCCATTAGCAGTGGAATCGTCACCCTTGGAAGTGTTCAAGAAACACGTGGATGTGGCACGTGGGGGACACGTTTTAGGAGCAAAAGGGCAGTGGCAGGTTTAATGGCAGGATTTGATAACCTATGAAGATCCTCCACAAGCTCAGTTACAAACTCAGACCAAGTACACCAAAAACAGAGACCATTTCTCTATTTCAGAACATGGTAGTAGAATAACCTCTTATTTTGGTCCAAAAGTTCTTTGCAGAGCCATTAAAGACACAGTGTCCTCCACCAATTTCCAAAATTTCACAAAATAAAGATCCTACCAAGCAAAGCCAGCAAAAATTCTCTCCAAGTATGTACTTAGACATACTCAGAAACATTTTTACCTCTCAGAATCAAACAGTAATTAATATGCTCACATAATCAAACAAATATGCACAAGATTATTTCCCAATTAGTTCTTCAATCATTCTCACATCTGGCAGAGTTTACCTTGCAACTGTGACTTGGCAGAAAGGCAGGTATTTGATGCTGAATTTATTTAGTTGCTTCTACTAAAAGTTAGAAGAGAACATCTGGATGACTTAATGAAGTTCTCTACTGCTAGCAGCAAGTGACTGCTGAAGTTTAAATTTCTTTAAAGGTTTCCTTTCTCATGACAAAAAAAAAAAAAAAGAAAAAGTTTTGGTTATCAAGTATAAGCATTGCTTTAAGAAATCCATCTGCCCAAAACCAGCAGTTACAATGTCCCTGTAGGCTGACAACATGGATTCATTTTATCCAGGAAAATAAATGGCACAAACAACTTACCTTCATAGAGTCTCTGCAGTATTTGCATTTTACCACTCCAGTAGTTTAAGAAAAATATAAACTTTAGGTAAAACACACATAGGGAAAATGCTATTATCTCAATCAGTGATCATGAGGGAAAAGCAAAGAGCCAAGACACCACACTGGAGTAAATCAACCTGCCATTAGCTTGAAAGGACATGACATTGCACCCTCCATACAAAGCTGCCTCACGGAAAGACAAGCAGGGCAAGCTCTTAGAGGAGATACATAAATTAGGAAAAAAACAATCCAAGGATGTGACAGGAGCAGCCTGTGTGTGAGGGTGAAATGCCATCATTTGCCCAAACTAGCAGGAAACACCCCAACTCTCACCAAAACCAGATGAAAAGCATGGACCACAACAGCCAGCTCCACACTGACAAGCAGCTGGAAGAGAACCACAGGGAGCAGAATCTCCTTGGCAAACATGAGGGAAGGGATCTGGACTGAAAGGTACCTGATGCTATCAGCTCTCAGCCTTGGTAGTTCTGAGCTGCTGAGTCACATGTGGCACAGAGAATTTACTTAGCTGTTATTCTAGACGAACAGTGAATTTTCATTAAACTTCCCACATGCTTTTAAGTGCCTCTTTGCTAACTTTCCAAACAGGATTAGCAAAGCACATTTGAAGTGAACCAAGTATTAAATGCAAATTGAATCCATTTGCTAAAATACTAATGGCCAGATAACACTACTGTGGACAGGAACACTGTATTTGATGCATGCTGCCCATGCAAATAGCACAACTCTCAGAGGCAAATTAAAAAAAAATCGGGTTTGAATTCAATCCTTTTGCTTTCAGGGTATTTTTAAAAAATTTAAGGACTTTTTAAAAAATGTGTAAAATGTGTCAGATTCAGCTTCCATTTCGTTTGGATACTACATCTTGTTAATGGTACTCTTAAACAACTTGCGCCTTCCTTTAAGGAGCTGGCTCTTAAAAGGACATTTAGTTTCAAATTAAAAGCAAATAGTGAAGCGATGGATGCTAGATTAAGAAAAAACTGTGCTAATTTCATCTCAAAACAAAAAGATTGCTCAAAATTAGAAAACAAGCCTGATCCATGTTTGGGATGAAAGATACAATTACTAAGGAAATGCAGCTACAGTCATGAAGTTGTTAATCATGATGACTTTCGTAAGAGTGATCCTACGTCAAAATTTAGTGATCATCAAGTTTAAACAGATCTGTTTCAATTACTGTCACAGTGACAGAGGCACACAAAGCTTTGTACCAAATAGGCAGAGGCATCTTCCACCCTCTGGTCCAGGGAATGCCAGCTATCTGTCACTCCTTCCAAGCTCTGGAACACAGACAGGAATGCCTGTGACTACAGAAACAAAAATATCTTTTATTCCTTTAGAGGAACGCACTGGGAGCACAGCTATGCACAGCGCTCGTGGTGACCACCTCTGTGACAGCCACCTCTAATTAAAAGTGCTCAGCACACCCAGCTATGGCCTCTCCCTGCAGATGGAATTTTGTTAAGCTTATTAAATAACAGGATGACCCTGCGTGAGAAGCAAATAATACACAATGTGTGAGTGAGAAAACAATGTGAGCACAGGAATAACAGTGCTTGGCTGGGGAGCAAGCAAGCTGTTAATTGTCAGGCTCAGGAGCTGGTTAGTTTAAGTAGAGCAGAACTGCTCTGCTGCTTTTCTTCCATGCCTCCCCAGGATGCCAAGGGGGCAGTGAGGGGCTGATCAGAGTTCAAGAACATTGTAACTCAAAGTTCTTATTTCTGTCCTCACAGTCTCATAATCTCACAGCAGAGGATGGAGATGATAAGAAAGGGAGGACTGGGACAAGGCAGAAAAAAACAGTTTTCATTACAAAGTTTTAAAATCTGAGTTGTCTGTAAGACAGTAGTGGATTTGGGAGGGCTAAGGAGGAGGGCAGTGTCTAACCTGCTTTTTGTATGCCAATATGTAAATGAATGAATGGATCATATTTAAGCAGTAAACCAGAGGGGGATGTGTACCCTATCAATACATCTAAATTATTTGGAATTTTTGGGGGGAGGGTATGTGTCTATGTGAACCTCACCAGTATTGTTATTTAAATCTGGACTGCAAAATAAGCTTCCCTGAGGTGCTAGGAAACTTTGTGTCTCTGTAGCAGAATTTGATGGAGCTGAACCTTCCAGTCCCCCTTATTCACAAATCCATATAACTAAGCCTTGTTAGATTTCTGGGTATCCTGTAAAATGGCCTCATGCAAGATATTTTTCAGTCTATTATGCACAGAGATCTAACACAGTCTCCTCCCCGCCAATATATTGACAATATACTGATATCACTAGTGGGATTTTGCTGGAGAACCACATCTGCCAAGAGAGCTTCAAGAAATAGAAGGAAATTTTCCAAATATTTATTTAAATTAGGTGAAAGAATTAAGAAGTCCAAGAGGTTTGATTTTGATTTGGAGCTGTGATTTTCAATTTGATTCAAGGGGAGTTAGAAGACTGAAAATAAAGAAATAAAGAGGTCCTGATCATGTTTTATCCTTAACCCCTCTTTACCTGAGGTTTTGTCTGCAGTGTCTGAGCTCTTGCCATGGAGATCTGCTTGTAGATATTGGTACAAGACTACACAACATAACAAACAGAAATAAAAAAAGCAAGTATGAACAAAATGAAAAGATATACAATGTACTGGGGAAGGGAAAAAACATGAAGCAGACATTAAATATTCCCCCTCACAATCTCACTTCCCCCCACTACTGGCAAAGGGTAAATCCACACGATAAATAAAACCTTCCAGGACTGGATTACTGTAGAGGTGTTGAATGCAACGACAGACATGGCAGAAATACTTGTCAAAATTAGTAACAAGATTAAATTCTCAGTACTTCAAACAACACACTGCTTTACAGATTCCCTATTATGAAAGACATCTTTGTTCACATATTGAGCCCTTCAAGAGCCTGAGAAACTCAGGGGAAAAAACACATCAGTCCTTCAGCTAGTGTTGAACTAAACCCAAGAAGTTTTATACAGTATAATACTGTTAGCTGTGTTGTTACACCTTCAATCCTGTACTGCACACCATTTTCAGGACTTACCGAAGTCACCTAATAGCCCTATTCATCATTTCTGTCTAATAACTGGGTGTTTTTGGACTAAAATTTGAATAAATAAGCTATGTTTAGAACTTGGATGAACAATTTTAATGTGTTCCAGCACCAGCTACCACTTCTAAAGGAAGAGATTCCTGCTAGCATGTCTAACTGAGGCTTCTTCTAATTGGTTTGCTCATCTCCTGCGGACAAACAAAAATGTTTCCACAGATGC